AAATTTTATTAAAAAATTTTAAAATTTAAAAAAGTTTGCAGGCAAATTTGGCTGCAAAACAATTTAAGGGATAGATAACACCTACTGGTCTCATCTTGTTGCACAAGCCAAATTAGACAATGAAACAATGAAATCATATTCCTGACTACTTGAAGTCCTAATTAAAGCTACTGAGAGGCTTTATCCAAACACTATTTTGACAAATGCTGATCCCGCTATGACCCTTGCTATTTCTACTATATTACCTTCAATACAACATCTTTATTGCATTTGGCATATTGGCTAAAATATACAAAAAAACCTTAAAAGCAAATTAAGCTCTGATTGGGATTCATTCATTAAGGACTTTTACAAAACTCGCAATATATTGAATCCACAAATTTTTGAAGATCAGTTTAAATCTTTGCAAGAATGTTATCCAAAAGCTGCACCATATCTCAATAGGGCTTTATATACTGATAGGCAATCTTGGGCAAGAGCTTATACTTTTTGTCACTTTACTGCTAGTACACAAGTAACAAGTCGTGTTGAGTCAATTAATTCACATATCAAATCTATTATACGTCATAGTACAACTCTGTACGATTTGTTCAACTCACTTGATTCTTTAATCGCTAGTCAAGACTATTACTATGACTTCATTAGTTGGAAATCATCAAATCCAAACATTAAACTGTCAAATGTTTGTGATACTATGTATCCAAATGTTAATGCTATTCTCAAGAGCTTCATTGCACCCAATCTAATTGAAAAAATTCGCTATGAAATAAACCATAGCTTATTTTACCATCCAACTAGAATCAACACAGAGTCTTTACATTCATGTCAAATACAAGATAACGATGATAATGAAGCATTCATTGATAATGCTTTTGATTATCTGTTGGCTCATTCCCTTGCGCTCTTTAAACAAGTCGAAGATAAAGTAGTTGAAGTTTGAGAAGTAATACATATGACCTGGCAACATTCCTAGCTTCATGTATTTTTACTTTCGGATAGCTTTTTCATATATAGCTGTATGTTATTAATTAATTGTGGGTATTCTTGTAGGCATTTTTTTTTGGTAATAGTGTTTCTTTAGCTGTCAAATTTTCAATTAATTTTGTGGCAAAGTGTTGGTTGCTTGAAAAATATCAAGATGAAAAAGATCTTGGTATACAACCTCTTGTCAATTTATCAACAGTTTTTTTGTCAGAATTATCCAAAGTATCAACTTCAATGACTATATTATCATCAAAAAAATCCTCAAGTTTATTTTCTGCATCAAATATCCACTATGACTTGCCTTTCATCATCTGTTGTTGCCAAAAAGGCAATGCAAAAAAAAAAAATTTATGCCGAGACTATTGGAATAGCATGAAAGGCTATTAATATCGCTATTAAAAAGGATGACCCAAATGTTCTCAAATTTTTAAAAACCTACATTCTTCAAAATTACCACTCTCTTGTTGAAAATACAACCAATACATCCGCCTCTGGTCATAAAACAAGTATACTCAAAGAACATCCTAAACCAAACGTTATTGTTGACAAGGCACAGATTTCTAACTCTATAAAAAAGGTTAGACGAGGTCGACCTCCCAAAACAGCGCATTATCAATCAGCAATGGAAAATCAATCATTAAAAGCTCAAGAAAAACAATCAAAACCAGTATGTGGCCCCGGAACTAACACAGGTAGGGAATGTGATGGCAAAGATTATAATCATCGATAGCATGTAAAACATGTAAATAAGGCTTGTAATTCGACAATTATGTGTGAATTTTGTGGTGGGCGTGGTCATAAAAAAGAGTTACATGATTATAATAATGTGGAGAAAAGAAAAATGAAAGTGAATGGGTTGGCTCAAGTAGTTCAGAATCAGATGTTGAAATGGATACTGATGAGTAATTGTTGTTCTTTATATATATAGATCATTGTAATGTTTTCTTATATGTAGCTATATCAAATTTATTTTGTTTCACATTATGTGAATAAAAGAATATTGTATTGCCCTGTGAAGATTCATTATTTTAATATAAAGCTCATGTAAAGTGAATGCATTATACTAGTAAGGCCATTTGCAATTGAAACTTCATTTAATGCTATTTTTTTTCATATTTACAGAGGTGAAAATTAAACAAACAAAATTAAGCATAGTGTAAGAAATCCCAAACGTAAGCCGTAAATTTTGCTGCTATACAGTTATCAGTACTGTATTCTAATAATGAGGTGAAGATATATACAGTATATTTGGTTTTTAACTACAGCTGCAAGAAGTGTATATTATAATCAGTGTTAGATTTAAATTAGAAATTATATGAGTATTATATATTAACTTTCTTGATATAATTTTTGTGCAAATGAGATCGATCACATAACTAATTACTGCATGATCGATCATTTCATGATCAATCATATGAAAATTAAATAAATTTTGATAAATTATCATCTCTACAAAACCCCTCTAGCACATCTTATTATCTGGGTCATTAAATTATTTCACAAAAATAAAATTTTCTCCCGGTTTCAAACAGATAAGAAAAAGCAGGTTCTGCAGGCAAGTTCTTTAAGGGTTTTCCATTATTCCAGTATTCAAATTAAAAACTTTGTTAAAAGCTTTGTTAAAAGCTTTTATTGATAAGGGTTCTCAATTTAGTGATTTTTAATCAATCCAATTTCAAGATCGGGTGTAATATAAACAAACAAAGTGATTTATTTTTTTACAAAAAAACTAAAATAACTCGAAATTTTAATTAAGAAATCACCTGTGGCTGGCCTAATTAAATTCTAACTCTGTACTATTTTCACTCTAACCCCAACTATAATGTGGTTTTATAAATTATGAAGTAGGGCAATTTTGTATCTAAAGTAAACGATGTTGACGATGTTGATTTGTATTACATAGTAATGATCACATGATTATATTTTATTAGTTACACAATAGTATGTATTACGATATAGTTACACAAGCACATGATATAGTGCTACAATTATATAATATATATTATGAAATTTAATTGGCTACCTATACCCACACATGATGTGGGGTGCACCAAAAAATAATACCCTAAAAAATATTATCTAATAAAAATTATTATAATAAAATTATAACTATTATGTCAAAATCAACTAGTTTCATGCTAAATATTAATTAAAAAGACCTTATATATAATTAAAAATTAATTTTAAAAAAAAACAGAATAAAGTAATAAAAAAGTATTTATATTATATCTAATCTTATTTTTTCATATAGTCAAGAAATTCCTGCTATATATTAGCTAGGCTGGTTCACAAAAGTATAAGTCAACCTTTAATTTACTTAGCTGATAAACTAGTATTAGCTTATATTAATACAACTTTCAGAATTTGACAAAAAAATTTTTATTTTATTTCTATAAGTTAATAAAATTAAAATAATAAATTTTGCTCAAACTTAAATAGCAGGTTGTTGAAAAAATATTTAATAAAAGTCAAAATAAATTTGGTCATACCTTTTTTTTTAAAACATTTAAACTTTGAATGAAGCTTATTTAGCAATTACAAAGTTAAATTCAATTGAGTTATTATTATTATTATTACTATGAGTATATAAGCTTATAGAATTTAAAGTTTAATAAAATAAGAGCCAAGTAATTTTCACTCAAAGTTTGGTTATCTTAAAAAAAAAGCTATAGCCTAATTTTTTTTGCTTTTATTAAATATTTTTTGACAACCTGCTATTCAAATTTAATTAAAATTTTTTATTTTAATTATATTAACTCAAAAAAATAAAATAAACAATTTTTTGTTAAATACTAATAGTTGGTTGTCAAAAAATCACTATTTAATATTTAAATAAAATATTAATTATAATATTATTTTTTTAAAAATTTTTTAAAAAACTTAAAACAAAGATTCTAAACAACCAACTATCAGAATTAGATGAATTTTTTTATTTTAGTTTTATTAGTTAATAGAATTTAAATAAAAAATTTTGATTGAAATTGGATAGCAAGTTGTCTAAAAAATATTTAATAAATTTAAAAAAAATTAGCAGCAACTTCTTTTTAAGATGTTTAAACTTTAAATAAAAATGATAAATTTTGATTAATTTTTTTAAATTTTATAAGCTTATATAATTATTATAGTTTTTAAAATGGTTGAGAATAGCAAGATTTATAAAAAATATTTTTTTATACGAATACCCAAAAACCTAAAAGCCTGATTAGATTAAAATAATAATCAATAATTGTCATAGCTGATGCTAAAAACAGCTGATGATAAAATTTTGAAGTCTCTATTTAGAACTATAAGACCTACTAAAACCTATCTATACTCTTTAATTAATAAACTCTAACCCTAAACTCTACTTAAACTATTATATAAAGACTAAAAAAATGCACCCCAAAAATTATAAAAATTTAATAATAAAATAATCAAAATTTCAGCATCAGCTGCAACATTCATTAATCTAATATTTGCAATAAGCTTCATAAATATTTATTATTTCATTTCATTTCATTCGCATTAATTTAGTCCGTAATACCATATTGGTATCCTATTAGTACCCTATTGAATATTATCGTTCTGATTGATACTATATTGATCTCTTTTGGAGCCAAAATTTGGCAATAGTAGGGAGATTCCCTATTGAACTTCATTTCACCTGTGAATATTCTTACACATTATCGTTGCATTATCAGTTTCTTTATCATCTTATTTTGGTTAACCAATATCCCTATCCTATTGTAGTTATTGATTCTCACATTTTCTATCCTGATCAGATAGAGGTGGAACCGATGAATAATTATTCGATCATCGGTCAAAAATTTTGAGTATCGAAATAAGCTTTCATTCATTGAGTTTTTAATTTGGTTATCACCTGAGCATTAAAATTCAATTTTCATAGATATTATTTAAATTTTTTGTACTGTATAAGTTTTTGAAATTTTAAAAAACCCAATGAACATTCGAATTTTCGATCAACCGATGCTCGAATTTCAGGAGTTCATCAGAAAGTTGTGCCAACTGCAAGATTGTATTCACTAAATATAAGTACTAGATAAGAATTAAATTTTATATCTATTGAGTACCGTAAAAAGATCATATAAAAGATCAGATCCCTATGAATTAGATTCTATTAAATAAATGTAGATGTTTTTAAAAACCTAGATAGCTTATTATTTTAGAATTTACCTTGCTACAATATAAACTCAGCTGTGTACTAGACCCCGGGTCTTGTATATTTTATAGTTATTGTATGGGTATGTATGAATAACCCAGTTACACACGGGTTCATATTCCGTGCCGAAGGCGCGGGATTTAAATACGAGCCCGTGTGTGTAACTGGGTTATTCATATACCCATATAATAACTATCTTATTGCACGGTGCCTGACGTAACAATTCCGTGTCAATAAGTAAATGAAAAAAGCACGGGTTGTCACATAAGACCCGTACAATAAGATCTTTTGCGGTACTTAATTTTTTAAGTACTTGTATCTCAATGCAGATTGTATTCGATAAGTATAAATCAAGTACTTGTTAAGTACCACTAGTAAAATTTAAAAAATTCGCTGTGTTGAATGGCATAATTTGAATGCCACTCAAACTGCCATTCGAATCGTGCCATTCAACATGGGAAATTTTTTTAAATTTTACCAGTGTACTTTAATAAACTTCATGATGTTTGTGATCAAACGATCGAAACTCATCGGTTCCAATCTCTATGCTAGAGCTTTTACCCAGGTTATAACCCGGTCAACGGGTCAAATGGAAATTCATAAAGTTTTTGAGTTAATCCTTAAAAATTGATGTAAGAACTCTTAACCAGAGCTGTTAGTATAGAAAACAACCTGTACTCCAAATATTTAAACTGGGGTTTTTCGGATTTTATATTAAAAATTTTTCGATCTTGCTTGTGATTGAGTTCATTCATTTTCTACTTCGGGAAATACGTGACCCTTCAAGAAGCTAACCCGCACTGGTCAGACGATCCGAGTAAAGGCTTTAATATTTAGTAAATTATGATTTATACCCATTATAGTTATATTAGTAATATAACATTTTAGTCGGGTTGAGCAATTTTCGACCCGTGCCCGTCAAAGATGGCGTCGAAACGAAACCTACCCGAA